AACAGCCTGCCACCACAATAGCCACTGGTGCCAGCCTGCTCGCCTGCTTGGCCATAACTACTGGTCTGGTGTCATGCACCACAACCGCTTCCTACGTCACCTCTACTCTACCATGAACGGATTGAAGGCCCCACGCACTTCCAACAGCCAACATGATAGCGTAGCAGCTTACAGCAGTAGCACCACCTACCTGTCCAAATGTCAACCCTTTCCTCTAATCGTGTGCATGGATAGGTATAACCACACATCATAGATAGGTGCACACATAACCTAGCACCGGCGACAGCTACGGTTGACCTAGGGGAGTTAAGTAAGTTGCGCACGCCACTCTGTGGGATGAAAGACAGACGTACAATGCCCCAGGCGAGTGGACGGGTGTGTGGCCTGGAGCTCTTCTTTCTGTACAACGGTTCGGGTGGGGCAAGGCGTATCGAGGAGGAGTATGCACTTGCTGAGCGTTCGAACGATNAGAAGTGTCTTCGAGCGAAGCGATTTACGATGCCACACTCGCATTCACTCCACACCCATTATATCAACAACACACCAAACCAGTCTATGCCTTTTTTCCCCCCCGCGGCTCACCTGGCCTCGGTGTCCCCCATTATGGGGTCCCCGTTTCCATGCAAGATCGCGAGCCATGGGCAGCCCCTCCGCACCGCCGGCCACACGTAAGCTCTCCCATGCCTCTCGCCAGCATGGTACATCTCTCCGCCCGGGCACACGAGCACGGCCCCCCATACCTGTTCATCGTGGTTTCTAATCTTGAGATTCACGGTTCGTGAAAACGCNGAAACAGCCTGCCACCACAATAGCCACTGGTGCCAGCCTGCTCGCCTGCTTGGCCATAACTACTGGTCTGGTGTCATGCACCACAACCGCTTCCTACGTCACCTCTACTCTACCATGAACGGATTGAAGGCCCCACGCACTTCCAACAGCCAACATGATAGCGTAGCAGCTTACAGCAGTAGCACCACCTACCTGTCCAAATGTCAACCCTTTCCTCTAATCGTGTGCATGGATAGGTATAACCACACATCATAGATAGGTGCACACATAACCTAGCACCGGCGACAGCTACGGTTGACCTAGGGGAGTTAAGTAAGTTGCGCACGCCACTCTGTGGGATGAAAGACAGACGTACAATGCCCCAGGCGAGTGGACGGGTGTGTGGCCTGGAGCTCTTCTTTCTGTACAACGGTTCGGGTGGGGCAAGGCGTATCGAGGAGGAGTATGCACTTGCTGAGCGTTCGAACGATTCAACATCCTCTTGTCCCATGGAGCCAAGTGTCTACGAGCGAAGAAAGCCACACCTGTGAACAAAGCGATTTCCTCGAGAGGGGGAAACATATCACATTGCCTGCGCATGAACTCCCGTTGAGTACATGCAGGTCTGTCCGCACTGGGACCGCACACTGCACCACGCCCGAAATACCGTGAAGTGTCTTCGAGCGAAGCGATTTACGATGCCACACTCGCATTCACTCCACACCCATTATATCAACAACACACCAAACCAGTCTATGCCTTTTTTCCCCCCCGCGGCTCACCTGGCCTCGGTGTCCCCCATTATGGGGTCCCCGTTTCCATGCAAGATCGCGAGCCATGGGCAGCCCCTCCGCACCGCCGGCCACACGTAAGCTCTCCCATGCCTCTCGCCAGCATGGTACATCTCTCCGCCCGGGCACACGAGCACGGCCCCCCATACCTGTTCATCGTGGTTTCTAATCTTGAGATTCACGGTTCGTGAAAACGCAAGCGAAGCTTGGAAATACCTCAAGAAAACATACTCCTACAAGCAGTGTGCAAGATTGTTTCTCTCCGTCTTTTGCACCAAAAGCTTGCAATACAAAGCAGGTTGTGACGAAACTACAGATCGGTGCACAACGTGCTGCTGCTGGATACCCAGGTCAGACTGAGTCCACATGCTGAAGCTTTGGATCTATCGCGCTTCTTCTTCAAGTCTCCACTTCAATATGCCGTAACCTCGTCAGGAACTGGGTTTCGTTTTCTCTGTGTAGGAGTAAAAGAGCCCTGCAGACAGCAGTGAATCGACTCACTTCATACTTTTCGACGAAGCGCAGAACGGCGTCCGCCGCTGTGCCGTGGGCGACCACCAGAGTGCCAGGGTCAAGTGCCAGCTCATCCGCCATGAAATTTAACCAGAAGGTTTCGTACCTGAGACAGTGGTGAACAAATCTCATGTACACGCCATCAAACAAAGAATACTGTTCGCAGGCAGCGGAGACGTCAACCCGTTCGTACGAAGATCCCGCTCGACATACCATGAACAATTCATCGTGAAAGCCGCCGCTACAAGCCAGCGTTTGACGACATCAACAACTTCCGTCAGCTTTGTGCGTTGGTGGCAGGTATGCCGATGGGTCTTGGAGGTGGTGTGCCTTCGTCTCCGGGCATAAATCCCGTTTTGATCGTTTCTTTCATACGGGTCGAGCTCTCCATCCGTTGTGATGCTTACAAGAATACGCTTCAGCATTTCTGTATTTCCGTGCACACATAGGGCACCGGCAACAGCACACGCAACCTACGAATTTGACATTTGTAGGGCGCAATGGTTATCAGAGTGGACACCTTCCACTATTTTCACACGAAGGTGCGAAAGCAGGTACTAAAAACGAAGAAAGAACGATTGCGATAAACATCCTGTGCTTTTTCTCGCACTTTACGTACGGATTTGACCACAACAGTCCTGTCATTTCAACACGTCGTGTGTTTCACCTGCGTATTGATTTCGAACGTGCACGTTGGCAATAGTTGGCGACGAGGAAGACCTGCTTGCCACTGGTATTGACGTACTGTAGACTACTTCTATATACCACAGTCAGCGGCCGTAGACTCAATAACTAGCAGTCATCCCCACGCCCTTCCTTGCAAGTGTGCTCACCGCTTGGTGTTGAACGAGTAAGGGTCAGGCATGTCTTCAATGGTCACTTCCACGTCTTTGTCGGCCACCACCACGTTTGCCTGCATCAATCGATATCGCACGACAAGCGCGAAATTTGCATGCATGTAAGGACGGGTCGTAGCGAGAGGGCTCACCAACCGGCTGAGCCCCGATCCCCCAGAACCACAGAATATACATACTGACGTAATGTATGCATAGCTATATTTGACAGCTGAAATCGTATCCTCGTCGTTCGTTGTTGCATACAAGTACAACATTTGCTCATGAGAGTAACTCGCGAAGTGTGTCGGCGTACGGCGCTTCTTCTTACCCCAGAAGCCATCGTATCCCTCCCTCCCTCTCTGTCTTTCAGTACGTTCCAAACACAGCAGACCTTCAGATGGTGGTGCCAGGAGTCAGGATTCGACAGGTCGGCTCGAGCGTCGGGGAGGATCAGCAATCGCCGAGGGGCCTTCGGCCGGGGAGAGGCTGCCGCAGGAGAAGCAGCAGAGGGAACGGCGAAGGCATCGGCCGATTGACTTGGTAACTGCGGCGCCAGAAGGGCAAGAGATAAAAGGATTCGGCAGGGCAGCAGCATGTCCAACGCGGTGGCCAAGAAACTACAATTGACGCCTACGAAGAGCCTTCCATAATTGCAAGGTGAGACCGAGGGGGAGGAAGGGTAAACATTTGCAACAGCAGCAGCACTGGCAGCGGCGGTGCGATTATTTCGCCCACGGGACTGTCAGCTTTGCCAGGGGTTGTCTGGATGGTACTGCCAACTGTTGCTGACTCGGTGGACGTCAGCCTGGCCCCGTCGTGGTGCACTACAGAGTGTGTTGCCCTCTGTCTCTGCTCTGGGGTTGCCAACGTGAGGCACGACCAGGTGTAAACGTTTCGACCAGGCTGCATGACGATGACATCCGCTACTAGAAAGCTTTATCTGGTAGCGACGATGATCTGCGCGACGTCGTTGCGGTGTGACGCGTTCTCTACAACAAGCTCGTGCAGCAATAGTCAGCACATCATGTCGAACAGCCCTACGACTCCGAGGACGGGCCGAGGGCGCTGCGGAAGCTCAATGGAGATGCAGGGAAGGAACGAAGACGGACAGAAACGAAGAATAAGCAACAGCAGCAGTGGCAGCGTGAACCGGGGTGGCTTCGCGCGAGCTGCAGCGGCGGCAGCGCTCACTCTAACCATTGCCGGGCAACAAACGACGTCTCCCGCACGGGCCGTTGGCGTTCAGCCCGGAGAGAGAACGACCGCTCCTCCCAACGCGTTGCTCCTTGTTCCTGCTCTTCGCGCGAAGGTGTGTGGACCCAAGAGTTGTCTAGCTGTTGTGAGGGAGCAGATCAACAGCAAGAGCTGAAAGGTATCGCTGCAAGCTGCGAAACATATGTTTCTGACTCGGCGCACACGCGACGTACTTGACGGCGGTTGCCCGAGACCGTATGCTATCATGCATCAGTCCACTGGATGGTGTTCGCTGTTCTCTGCCGGAGTTGTAGATACTGCGTTTGTCGCATCAAGAGTGCATTCTACCAGCACTACATAGCACCGTCGTGATGTCAACAGTCCCTGGTAGTAATAATTAATATATCGCCAGAAACCTACTGTACCTACCGTAATACCCCAATCCACCAACTAGTACGACGAGGTGCCGAAGGGGGGCATGCCAGCGTCCTCACATGGACGTTTTTGTTCCGACCGGCGTCGTGCCCTTCACTACGTGGACGTTCCTACCCATCCTTTGAGTCCCGTTTTTGGTGGATCGTCGATCTGAATCCTCAACTTGGTCTGAGGGAGTGCTGGTGATATTTGTCGTTGTGAAATGACGAGACTGGAAACCCGTGGCTCTAGGCGTTTCCCCTGATTTGCATCCTCCGGCGTGCAACCTGGCACTGCTTCATTGTTGTGCAAGCTGTGGTTGTCTATTCGGGCGGAGCACACGAGCTTGGGGGTCATGACATACCTATCAACCGAAGGTAGCTGCCCCCCGCGTGCTCTCCTCCCGCGTTCACCTTCCCGGGTCTACAGGACTGCCTCGAGGAAAGTAGACCACAGAGGGGGCACGCAGACCCTAAAACCTTAACCCCAACCCCAACTTACCCGATGTTATATTTCATCCAGTGTGTTTACTTGTTTAGATTAGCCTGCGTAGACTACCGCTTCTACCTGTGTACCGACCACCCCGTGCAACGCCTTTCGGATATGACGCTCGGGCTTATCTACGAATAACATTTTCCAGCTCGCGGTCCAGAGCGTGCTGAAGCTGATGAAGGACCCAGAGAAGTGGGACGAGGCTCGGGAGGCCCTCAAATCGCCCCCGCTAGCCCCGGCCGACTTCAAGGAGTGCTTCCGGACGTACAGTGACGCGGATCCCGAGCAGCACTTGGCGTTCGACCTCTACCGCATACAGGCGCAAGACGCCCTCAAGGTGGACGATGACGCAGCTTCTACACGATGTGCGGCAGCCCTTCCGGCCAGCGCAACCCGTTGGCAGTAACGTAGGCGCGAGGGCTAATTAACCAAGGCGCGCAAGGACTGCCCCCGCTGTATTTTGTTTTTCTTCCCGTGTGGGATCCTCCTGAGGACAATACAGATCTCGAGCAAGCGCTTGACAAGCAATTTTTTTTGTCGCGCTGACAGCTTGAACCGCACATTTGCAATCGCTTCGTGTCTGTAAATGCATTGCAGCCGCGCGATAAATAGAAAACACACGATCAGTCCTCCACGTACTACAGCTGTCACGACGACTAAGAAACCTCTGGATCCCACTGTTGAACGCTGCCGTTCTTGTGGGCATAGGCGGTCCTGAAATCTGACGCAACGACGCCAGCAGGTGGCGCGCGTTACGTACGTACTTCATCCCTGCTCGGTCATGTAGAGCACCTGTTTTCGGCGTAAGCTGTACAGCACCCACTCGCGCGAAGAATATGACTGTTTGGATGATGGTGGCGGAATGCAGACCTCTTCAGCTGCTCATTAGTGCCAGAAAATAGTCATCGACTACGAGTGAGTATCGAAAGGCGCTTACCGTACAACAACGGCTAGCTTCTCTGTTTGAGTAGGCAACGGATGTTCCTACTTAACGCCCTGCGCGCTGCTGGCGTCGTTGCGTGTGCGTAGAGGTCGTTTGTGCCGGACTTAGGAACCGGGCAGTATAAAAACGAACCCGTGTTGTTGTAGAATTTTGGGCCGTCGAAAAGCACCGTCTGGCGTCCATCGCCGAACTCCTCGGCCCCGGGCAGCAAGAAGCGTTTCTGCTGATGTTGTGCACGATGAGCGTCTCTGTGCCGCACTGCGCCACAACAACATGGAATGGTGTGTTGCATGCAGTTGCTGAAATACACCCTAGCCGCCGTGCCCGAGGCCCGTGCCGCAACTCACAGGCTTTTTGTTGACCTACCTAATGGGCGCATCACCCCCTCTGTGGGCTCCGGCCTCTCTCACCGTACCTAGCGGGCACATCGCTCCCTCTGTGGACTCCAAAGCGTTGGAGGGGGAGAGGGGACAAATTTACAGCTCCTGGCTTCACTATTAATTTTTTGTTTGTCCTTGTATGTCCTTTTGCTTGTTGGCAACAACGAAACACGCGTTGGTTTCTTGCAACACAACACCCCCCACCCCAGGCGGTCTCCGAGCTGCTGGCGTACCTAGCGTCCGAGAAGAACAAGGGCTCCAACATCGACCGAGATGATGTCGAAGACCTCGAGGAGGCGGGCCGCTCGGTGCTGCAGGGCATAGACGATTTCCTGGCCCTCGCCCCTCGCGAAGACGTCTTGATGGTGGCGAAAAACACCGCTGACCAGGCGCGCACCGCCCAGGCGGCCAGGCCAAGGAGCACGGGGGCACCGACGGCGTTGGGGGGGGGTCGGGAGCTGGAAGGCGCCGTTGTCGGGGAGGGGGCGTTTGTCGCGGGCGCCTGGGTGGGGAAGTAGGTATTGTATGAGTTTTTTTTATCATTTTTAGTTTGATTATTGGGGTTTGGGTTTGTAGTTGCCGTTTTGTTTATGTTGTTCAGTTTGATTCGACGAAAAGTCCATAGATTTACACTTATCATAGGAATATTTACTTGCTGTGGTGAGACGTTACGACACCGTCGCCGTTTTTGTGTATCCCCTTGCTGCCAGGTGCTCGATGGTGGGTGTCCGTTTTAAACCATCCTGACATCTTGTAGAATAAACCTGGACACCGCGTTATTGCCTGACCAGCGAGCAATAAACAATTGTCTACACCCCACCGGACGGAGTGGTGTGTTTTGTGAGTTTGGTGCAGTGTTTGCTTCGTTCGGTGGGTAACACACAGAATACGGCGTAGGCAGTATCTATCCGCCGGTGCATGCTTCATGTTCGTTGCGGCGAGGTACGCACTTGCGTCATGGCACGGTCATTGACAGAAACCGACATCAGCACCAGCAGAGCAGCGGCATGTGTGGGAGGCGGGAACCAAGGTAGATAGTCAGAACATAACGGGGAAAATGAGCACTAGCTGCCGGTTTCAGAGGTAGGCGAGCAACAAGCCTCAGCGAATCGCAGCGTCATTTTCTCAGCGTCAGGAGGATGAGCCTTCCTCGATTTTTTAGGTGATCCTCTTCCCGTTTCGTATGGCTTGCGCAGCGAAAGGCACGACACGAACATGGAAACAAGCCGTCCGCTGCTGGCTTTTACGGATTCGTTGGTCACGTGGTTTGCCACCCTGCCACCAATTGGGGGGCAAATCGGTCGAACGGCTACGAACACTTCGGCGCGCACGTGCTTCTTCCTTGTTGACACAGGACAACCTCTGGCCCAAGCGTGACCCACGCATGCTGCTGACACGCATGCATGCAGGAAACAAAGAAAATCTCGTGTTTTTCAAGTGCTTCTGTTCACAGAAACCGTCGGGTTCACGACCGCATCTATGACGCATACCCCAAGACAAGCGCAGCGCCTGCAAGAAATGGCGCTAAATTAGCGTTGAAGACACGGCCTCGATCCCGGCCGTGATGGGTCACTTGCAGCGGGTGGTTGTGTTGGGAGTCGTTAGGCTTCTTTCGTTGTCTCATCAATATTAGAGCTGTCGTTCGTGAACAGTTTCTTGCCTAATTTGACCGACGGTTTGACGGACGGCTCCGACCCCTGGGGTCACACCAAATGGGTTCCCTCTCCGTTGCAACCTACCTTCATTTTGGATAGCACGAGAATGGTTCTCCCACCCTTCTCTCGAGTGTACTCATTTACGCCAAGGAGGTTGCCCTGCCGGCTAAAAAGACATGGACACGGGCTCAACGTATCACTCGTGCCTCGCGTCCGCAAGCTCGGAATAGGTGTAGGCTTCAACCACATGGCATCATATGGCAGAAGCCACAAAAGCACGCCGCCAGCGCACAGGCGTCATGCAGGAGGCACGGCACTAGGCGGCGCCCTCCACACCAAAAGATAACAAAAAAAGGCGACAAAAAGCGTGAAGGCGGCTTTGGAAAAAAAAGCACCGACGCCACAGCAGCAGCAGCGGCGGGGTGTACATAGCACATTAAAACATACATGTACTTGCGTGCCTGTTGGTTTGCTTGGCCGTTACACACCAACAGATAAAATACTAACATATCCCAACGGTGCCCGCACGAAACGCTCACACCGGCGCGAGAAGCAGACAACTGCAACATGGTGGACCCCGCGCGTGATACTCTCTATCTATTGCCTGGATAGATCGATCTGAATCCATCAAAATAATTCTGCGGGGAAAAAAAAAAACGGGACTACACCAAACACAGCAAACCGGCTGTTGCTCATGAACGCCCGCAAAAATGACGTCCGCCACTGAACCAAAACTAGAGGTGCTGGCGGGCACGGTCCGCAGTGACGTGACGACCAACAAGATACACAAGGCCTCCATCCGGGGGCACGAACTTGCGAGCCCCTCGCAATCACGCCATGCCCGCAAACGCAAACGCAAACGCAAAAAAAAACCGCAGTCTCGCCCGCATCCCAGTTCACGAAGTACTTGGGAATCTCAATGCTGCCACCTCCCTGTCTTTTTCGCCTCCAAGCAGTTCTCTTGCGGCCTTCGACCAAACTGCGAGCGTGTGCCTAGGTTGGACCTCTCAAAAGCAAGTCTTTCATCACCGCGGCCAAAAAGCATGCGTGGCAACGAGTAATACCATGAGTGCATCAAATGCGCACGCTGGAGCGCTCTCGCGCAACTCAGCCCCCTACCCACCCACCCACCCCGTCAGCGAACAGAACACAGAACACAGCCTCTCATATCTCTCTCCCCCTCGCCCCCCACGGTTTTTTTATCCCATCTGCCCTCTCTACATATAGCGGCGCCTGACCTCTCCGCGCGCGCCTGTCTACTACCACCCTTTCGCGGCCAGGCTTCTCTCGAAAAATTTTCCTCCCCCCCCCCGTCTCAGGAATCTGGCTAGACCTTGCGGCGCTTGGCGTCCTCGGCACCGGTCAGGAGACCGCCGTTGGCGGGCGCGGGGGCCACTAGACCGGCCGCCGTGACAGCAGAAACGGTAGCCGGCGGGGCCAGGGCAGCCATTGGGTTGGAGAGGGGGTCGGTAGGGGCGGGGCCAAGCAACGCCGCGTTCGCCCCAAATCGCTCCTGTGACGTCGACGACGCCACGGATTTCATAAAAAAAAAAAAGTGGATTACATTGGTGGAGGGGGGGGAGTTCATGTTTTGCATGCCTTGTAGCCGTTACAACATTGACCACGCGAGAGGACAGAGATTTGCTCCCACAGGACCGGTCACCCATGGCTAGTCATTGCTGGGGTACTGTGATCAAGAAAACCTAGCAAGCGTGGAAGATAACCTGACTGTGGAACATCCGGGGTACTAGGTCGTACACGAGAGTCAATGAACGGATATTCCGTATTGCTTGTTTTTTCTCAACCAACCAATGGTCGCCTTGCTCTGGACAATCCCGCGGTCTCGAAGGAGGCGATATCGCCCCTTGCAAACGACGTTCCGGCCCGTTCTACAAGACCATCATGGACAGACATCACGAGGAGGGCATTTTTTCAAACACAGGCCCGACAGCGAAGCGGAACACAGCGTTAGGCAAAAGAGACAAGCTGCATGCTGCGCCAGCGATCGACACAGCACTCGACAGCAGTCTTCGACTAGCGATTGTCGAAAGAAACCCCCACAACCGAGACAAAAAACACTACAGCGAGGGGCAAAGTGCTTCCGAAGGACCTTTGGGGAGGCACACGACGGGCGTTTCAACTCAAGGTCAAACAAGATGCAGGCCTCACAAGGGCCAACACGCGGGGCGGACCACGCGATACGATGCTATCAAGACACTCAAAAAACACACCACCGCCAGCGCACAAACGTCACACCGCCGACGGCCGGCCGGCAGGCCCGATAACAGCCAACGGTCCCGACAAGGTAAAGATCGGTCGTGTGGCTTGCCGTTTCTTCCGTGCTGCTCACTCACCGCTTGGAGGGCAGCCACGGCGTCCTCCAGCTTCTTCACGCGCCGCTTGAGTTCCCCCACCTCGTCCTGGCTAACGGAGGGGGCTGAAGTCACGATCGGATTCGCCGCCCTGATCGCATCGCAGAAAAAAAAATAAACGAAGGGTCGATGAGAGTTTGGATTTTGGGGAGCAAAAACACCCACAGCAGGGGCGAGAGAATGCGGTACAGCAAGCAGGTCGCCGGCACAGACGAACGGGTTCTGCTAGAAAACTGCTGTAATAACTGACGTGCGGCAGGGGGAGCTGCAGACCTCACACACAAAGAATAGAGAGAGACGGGGGGGGGGGGG